ATTTTATTGTAAATCCGTTTTTTAATTTATAAATTATGATCCTATTTAAAGTAAGGCATTTATTTTTATTTATATTTTTTTATAATTTATATTAAGCAAAGGAGTTACTTGGGGCACTTTATAAAGATATTTTTGCTCTCAAATTAACTTGTGTGTGCTTAGGGCACACACAAGTTTTTGGTCTTAAAAGACAAAACCATTTAAAATTTCTCAAACTGACTTGTGTGTCTTAAATAAAAGTGTTTCTATCTGATCACAAATTATTAACTGCAAAAGATTAACACAAATACCTCATAATTCATACAAATTCTTACCGATAAATTTTTCTGATAGTTTAAATTTGGTTTAGAAATTTAAAGTAATTTTTTTATAGAAAATATGAAATAAAATTGTTTTGTTTCATATTATAAGTCTGCAAAAAGCAAGACTTCATTCAGGAAACAAGATTAAAATCTTTCCATGTTTTGCCAATTAAGAAAAAAAGTGTCTATCATTGGACAAGAATGGTTCATTAATTTAATTGATGGAAGTTGTGGACCCTAGGTTTAGTAAGAATATAAGTTCTCATCCAACTTAAGTTTCAAGAAGCTACAAGACAAAATCATGTATTTTACAGAATGGTAAGGCTATCAGTAAATCTATAGAGATTTTTTATTTGAACGGTTGTTATCAAAATAAAAAGAATGAAGCAATAAGGTATACTAGTTCATGTGGTATATGATGCTTGGAGCATGATGTTAGTAGTTTTAACCTAATCTTTTTAACTTCACCTATGAAGAAATTAAAATTCCTTGTCAAATAGTTAGTCCTGGTATTCACATACTTTGTAACAAAAAACAACTGTTCAAAGTTTCCATGCCATAGTTGAATCAATTCTGAATCTAAAATAGCAAAAGAATATAACTTCATTTCATTCGACTTTTTTAGTTCATTTAAATCTAGATATTGATTATTAGAAAGATTACTAGCTATTTTTACACTTAAAAATTTCCTAAATGTTTTGCTTACATTTTGTCGCAACAATTCAGCTTTTTCGACATATACGTTTTTTTTTTAGTTTTAAAGCATATTCTTCAGTTGATGCTATAATGTCAATAAATGGAATTTTTTTTTTTTGATGCAATAAATTGTTGGATAGGATTTAATAACTTTTCTTGGTTGTTAGATAAAAGTTTACTGGAGAGGTTCAACACTGCATTTTTTACTATATTGCTCGTTGGTAGTTGGTAGTGAATCAATGTTACGTTTGCAAGAAAAATATTTTTCTTTGGTATATTTAAGAATATTAAACTTACGTATTAAATGATGTTTAGTTTTCTCGAATTCAATCTCTCTGGATTTATTAGTAATGCGTTTATTTGTAACAAAATCTTCAGGTTTGACAATTAATTTAATTGAACTCGATAATTCAGGGATATTTATAATACTCGTGTGAAATCTTTTTTTTGGCGTCATTTTTTGCTACAATCAAAAGTTTGCGTTGGTATTCAAGCATAAGATTAAAGCCAGTTTCTGTTTTAATTGGACTGTATATATTTAAAGATTTTGGAGTGATATTGTATTTTATATATACACTATATATACTATTAACGATGTCACTTAAACAATATTTTTATTGGTTCTTTTACCAATAAACAAAATTATTTTTTCGTAAAAGATCCTTTTCTTATAGACTTTAAATTATTCGTTGTCTGTAAATTTGAATACGCAGCCTGTTGTTGGCGAAACTAATCGCTATTTAATGGCACAGATTATCGAACACTATAAAAGGGATAAAAACTCTCATATTTATAAACATATTTATTCAAATAAAAGCTGTCTTAATAGCTTTAATCTTAGCTAGTTTTTCAATTTTGGATTCGGCCTCCAATAAATTTATATAAAATCTCAATGAAAACATGTACATAGAGTGGGAAAAACCCACTATTAATAAACAAATGAACCATGTAAATATATATGTATATATATATATATATATATATATATATATATATATATATATATATATATATATATATATATATACACACACACACATATACAGGCCTGGATTAACCATTAGGCAAACAAGGCATTTGCCTTGGGCACCAAGCGTTTGGGGGCACCACAAGTCCTCAAGAAATATTTTTTTTTAACAAATTTAAGTCCAGAAACAACTGAAAATTGAACAAGTGCTATGAAAATGAAGAAATACATTATAATAAAAATTCACATTCAAGTTTGGTACCTTGAATGCTTAAAAATTAAGCTATAAATGAGCCGGTTTTTTCTATTTAGCTTTTTATTAAACTAATTATTTTTTGCGTTTTAACGACTTTTTTTTTTTGCGCTTTAACTATTAATTTTAATACAGAAATACTTTATTGTAGGTTTTATATGAATGATAGTAGTACAAACTACAAACATATTTGTTAACAACTGTTTTCTTTGCATAATATTGAACATACCAGCGGTCACAGTCAGCGAAAAATCAGGGGCCCCGGGCAGAAGGGGGCACCGGTGTGGGTTTGTGCCTTTGGCACTAATATGGCTTAATTCGGCCCTGTTTATATATATATATATATATATATATATATATATATATATATATATATATATATATATATATATATATATACACACACACAAAAACACTCTAATTTTGTATTGAAACTGATAATAAGTATTGAGCATCAAAAAATCATTAAATATAATTATAGTTTTTTTATATCGATTGTTTGTTTTGTTTTTATAATCATATTAATATCGATTGTTTGTCTTGCTTTTATAATCAGTAATATTTTTTTTTTCGTTATTTATAATAAGTAACTTTATATTCAGTTTATTTTTTTTATTTATAGATATTAATTTACAAAATTATTCTGTCTTGAAAAAACGAGTATTTTATTCATTTTTTGTGGCATTAAAGTTTTGATAATAACGTCATAGTAAAAAACTTAATTTTTTTTATGATTTTGTTAATTTTCGTTTAATTTATTTTTTACATTATTAAAATGTAAGTTATTTTCTCTTATAAAAATGTATAAATTATTATTCGACGTATTAATCAAACTTTGAACGCGATCTAAACGTTATCGTGAAGTCACTAACATTTTCAAACAACGGTTGCGATAGTTACGACATTCGTACTGGAATCGACGCGGTCGTTTCTTAGTTTTTTTAAGTACTATTTTTTATTAGTTAGTTCGAATTTATAAAAAGATTTATTTAAAGTTCGATGATCGAGTTTTGAAAATATAAAATCTCACTCTTCGATAATTTCTTAAAGTATTTTTATTTTGTTACCATGGGTAATTAAAATTCACACAGGTAAAAAAAATTTCAACTTCGTAAATATATAAGTATGTTTTAGTTTTATATTCATTTTAAATTTTCAAGGTCATCTTTAAAGAGTTTATTGCTTTATATTCAATTATTTTTTGTATTGAATATTTATGTTTTAAAATTAAATTAGAATTGTTACGATGGCGATCTCTGATGATAACAAGTCTTTATTTTTTTAATGCATTAAGTAAATAATATTTTAGAAGTCATATAATTAGATGAACTTATGTGAATAAAACATTTATATAAAAAACATGGTTTTAAATGTTGCAACTTACTTGGTAGACATTTAACAAATGAATTTTCAGACATTTTTGATTTTAAATTAGAAAAAAAAATTCATCTTTTTAGCTTGAAAACTTTAAGTTAATGCAGAAAAAATAAATAAACCGCTGGAATGTTTTTGTTTGCTTATTTTTAAGAAGCCATTTCTTTGTAATTCTACAAAAAATGGCGTCTTTAAAGCGGTTTATGTTGATTTTTCAAAGCGATCTTATTTTATTAGTAAGATCGCTGCAAAATTTTTTTATTTTTGAGTTAACTCATTTTTCTTGTAAACTACATAGCTTGTAGCAACTTAATATCAGAAATTGCTGGTACCTAATAGTAAGGTTGTTTTCTTGCTTACAGCAGATGTTAAATTTCCGGCAGGAACTTCTGCTTTTTTAGTTAAAAATACGGAGAAATATTGTTATTATAAAATAGATGTGAAAAACAAACTATTTTCTTATTTTTATTTCTTTTCTTTTGTTTATATGTTAGCATTTATATATTTGTCGCTAAGCTTTAACAATTAAATTATTGTTTACTATGATTTGAAAATGTCTCCTTAATATAAATCTTTGTTTTTCTGTAAACAACAGTTCCTATTTCTTTGTATTAATTATTCTCCATGATTGAATTTCTTTCCATTTGTATTTTATATTTCTCTGTGGGTTTTTATTGCTCAATCTAAATCAAGACACGCAATTCGCACCACGTTTTACATTATAAAAATATTTAAATCGTTATTAGAGAGTCCGTTTCTCCTAAGTTTGGGTTCGACGTCTAAATCGAATTAACAAATATTTGAACCCTCCCTCATTGATTTTTTTATGAATTTATTTACAGAAATCATTTGAAAAAAATAGTCGAAGGAGATTTTCTATTGTAAGTTCTTTAGAAATTCGATTTTTGAAACGACTCTTCTCTTCAAATCTGTTTAAATAAAACTCGTCTTATTAAAATAATCGAACGATGATATTTTTTGTTTAACAATTTTTTTACGTTATGTGGTTGAATTTCAATCAATTTTTAAATTTGTTTGGAATGATAATATAATAAAATAGTGTAAAATGGTGTATTTTTTTAAGTTACATAAATGAATAATTTGTTTTATATTATTTTAAGTATGTTACGTTTATAATTTATAATAAAATGAAATTTTTTTTTATTTAAAAATGTGATAAATAAAAATCATTTTCAATTTTATAACATTAAATTATTATAATTTTACAATTTTTATTAAAGAATTATTTTGAATTACATAGTATTAAATTTTTTATAAACGATTTTAAATTTTATAAATATTTATATAAATATGTAGAATATTATAATGTATTTATTATTATAATTTCGATTATTTTAATTATTATTTGTTTGTTTCTATTTATAATTAATATTTAATTTTTCTTTAGATCGTCGATTATCGAAATATAATGACAAAAGTTTATTCATTGAATGTTTTTATGAAAGTCAATCATTTACTGATGAAATAAAATCAATCGTTGATAAACGACGATGGTGGTGGATTTCGATTGACGATGGAAAAACTTCTTACGAAACTTCTTGCGATAATTATTTCGTAAATCATTTCATAAAATCTGGAAGAAAGTTAACGTGGTTAAATGTTGATAAAAATATTTTAAGTGATGAAGAAAAAAATCTTTTAATTCTTTGTTCAACTAATGTTTGCGATGTCAACTTTTATCGTCCAATTAAATTCGAAGGATGGAAACCGAAAGATAAGATTGAAAAGTTGAGGATATCGATCTCACATGATTTTATAACAAAGAAAGATTTTGAAGAAAACTTTCTTCCATGGATTAATCTTTGTGAAGAATTACATCTTTACCTTCACGACGACATTGATTTTATTGATGATGTTTATGAATGGATTCGTTGTTCGAATGTCAAGAAGTTTAAGATCAAGTACCGTGGAAAAGATTTTCGTAACCTCGATGAATTAAAAAACTTTATAACACGTAAAAAATGTTTAATATCTTAAATATGTAAAATAAAAATAATAATTATAAAATAATAAATTAAATATTTAATATATTATTTTATAATTAAATATATTTTAAAATATACGATTTAATTTTGATAATATTTTTATAATTTAATATTAGATTAAAAGTTTTTTTATTATTAAATTGTTTTAATTTATAATAATAATTATAAATGTTATAAATACTAAACATAATTATTATTATGGTATATAATTTTTTATTATTTTTTAAATATTCTTAATAAAAAAAATAATATTTAAAAAATAATAAAATTATTGATAAACAATAATAAAAATAATAAATAAAATCTTTCAATTTTTATTTTTTTTTTTTTATCAATTTTTATTTTAAATTTTTTGTAAAATTAGCATTAAATATAATTTTTAATACAGTGATTATGAAATATATAATTATGATTAAAATAAATAAAAACTAGATTAATAATAATTATAATTATTACAAGTAACTTGAATTATAATAATTATTGCTATCAATTATTTTATTAATTTTTGTTATATTTTTTAGTTTTGTGATTTATTATAATATCGTTCAGAGATTCTAAAGTAATGTTATGTGGAAATTTTTTTTGATTACTTTTTTATATATTATATATTTTATTTATTTAAAATTTATGTTGTATTATGTTAAGTAATTTATTTAAATATAAAACTTAAACATTGTATTTATCAACTTAAGACAAAATTTTTCAAATAATATTATATACATACATATGCATATACAAATATTATAAATTAAAAAAATAGAAATTAAATTAATTTCTGAAATTTATTTTTTTAAATTTGCGCAGCATAAGTTTTAAACGTCGAGTTTATTAAGGTCTCCGCCATTTGTTTCTTTACGAGATTTTCGTTGTCAACGAAATAAAAAAATTCGAAAATGATTTAGAATTTTTCTTCGACGTTATTTTGTTGGAAAGTTTTCATTAACTGGTGTTTACTTTATGGTAAATTGCACTTTAAATTTCATCGATCGATATGTTTTTAAAACAATTTAGCCTTTTTGTTTATCATATTTTTTAAATATTTTTTTATTTGTTAATAAAACAATTTTTTTTTACAACCAACAAATAAACCCAAGGTGTTTTTTATTGATTTATTTAAATTTTTTTGTTTATATAAATTTTTACATTTAAAATTTAATTTAATCTTTTACTGTTGAAAATTCCTCGATCAAATGAAGTAACAATCAGTAGTTGTGTCTACTTAGTTACCAAGTAAAAACCTTTGCGCTTCTTCTATTTGTATCATTGCAATTAAACCGTAATAAATTTAAAATTTCAGTAAATGACTGTGAATTTATATTTCAATTTTTTATCTCGTGTCTCTTAACCAAATATAATCTCAATTTATTAGAATACTTTAGAGTTAGTTAAAGCTAAAGTAAAAAAAATACAAACATATTTTTCATGTTTGGCTACTGATGTAGATGTCATGTATTTCAGTTCAAGTTTATTTTATTATTCAATAAAAATTAATTATATATTATATTAATAATAATAATAAATTAAATATTTAATATATTATTTTATAATTAAATATGTTTTAAAATATACGAATTAATTTTGATAATATTTTTATAATTTAATACTAGATTAGAAGTTTAATAGATTTTTTATATTTAAATTGTTTTAATGGTTCGTTTTAATTTATAATAATGATTATAAATGTTATAAATACTAAACATAATTATTATTATGGTATTAAATTTTTTATTTTTTTTTTTTTAATATTATTAATAAAAATTATAAACAACAACATAAAATAATAAAAAATTAAATCTTTTAAGTTTTTTTTTTTTCAATTTTTATTTTCAATTTTTTGTATAATAAGCATTAACTATAATTTTTATTACAGTGTTTATGATTAAATCTATATAATTTTGATTAAAATAAATAAAAACTAGATAAATAATTATAATTATTACTAATAATAAGTAATTCGAATTATACTAATTATTGCTATTAATTATTTTATTAATTTTTGTTTTATTTTTTAGTTTTGTGATTTATTATAATATCGTTCAGAGATTCTAAAGTAATGTTATGTGGAAATTTTTTTTGATTACTTTTTATATATTATATATTTTATTTATTTAAAATTTATGTTGTATTATTTTGAATAATTTATTTAAATATAAAAATAAAACATTGTATTTATTAACTTAAGATAAAATTTTTCAAATAATATTATATACATACATATGCATATACATATATTATAAATTAAAAAAAAATATAGAAATAAAATTTATTTTTAAAAGTAAAAATAAAATTTTATTTTTTTAAATTTGCGCAACAAATCTTAAACGTCGAGTATTTTTCGAGTTTATTAAGGTCTCCGCCATTAGTTTTTTTATGAGATTTTCGTTGTCAACGAAATAAAAAAATTCGAAAATGATTTAGAATTTTTCTTCGACGTTATTTTGTTCGAAAGTTGAATTTTCATTTAAATTGCACATTAAGTTTCATCGATCGATAAGTTTTTAAAACAATTAAGCTTTTTTGTAAATAATATTTAAAAATAATTTTAAAAAACAATTTTTTGACAAATAAGCCCTTTTACTGATTTACACAAATTCTTACATTTTTAAATTTGATTTAATCTTTTACTGTTGAAAATTACTCGATCAAATGAAGTAACAATCACTGTTGGGTCTACTTAGTTACCAAGTAAAAACCTTTGCGTTTCTTCGATTAGTATCATTACTACTAAACCGAAATTTCACGGCGTAATATAATTAAAATTTCGGTAAATGGCTGTAAATTTATATTTCAATTTTTTATCTCGTGGCTTTGAAACAAATATAATCTTATAAACTTATTAGAATACATAAGAGTGAGTTTAAGCTAAAAAAAAATACATACATAAAACTTGCGTAATTTTCATAAAAATAAACGTGTATATACACTTTTGCGCGTTTAGCTACTTATATAGATGTAATGTATTTCAGTTCGAGTTTATTTTATTATTCAATAAAAATATTTAGTTATGTGATCGCGTCTTGTTTCTTTAATTTTGATAAACTATTTTAGAATAAATTGGACTTCTTCCATTATTAAGCTATTGTTGAGATCCCTGATAAATTTTTTTTTTTTAACTGTTTTTACTTTGTTGATGAAAAAATAATATTTGTTACCTAGTTTTCGACTTAGCTTCTTTAAGGGTATATTCAAGCAGTAAATTTCTTACAAAGAAATCCATAGAAAAGTTTCTGATTTACATCCTTAACGCATATTTAACATTGACTGACAAGCATATGAATGTTTATAGCTTCGCATTGGTAAATAAACTAGCTGTAGTAAAATGAGGGTGTTAGACCACCAAAAAAGTTTCCATAACTGTGAAAAAGAGGAGTCTGATATCCCTTTGCTGGTCTATACTTTTCACCCTATAGAAAAACTTTTGATACCTGTAAAAAAGAGGGGTCCTCTACTAGTCTATACCTTTAACCCCCATAGAAAACTTTTTAACACCCTCAATGAAAACAAACCCTAAAAACTATTGAAAAAATTCTCTAAGGATAATGTACTATCACCGCCATTCCATAGAGAACTTCAGTCAACCACAGAAAACCTTTCGCACCTGTAAATAATACAGGTATAGAAAACTTGTGAAAAGCGCAGATAATCGATGCTTTAAGGAGCAACTACCCTCAAATTTCAAAACAAAATATATAAAGTAACTTTTTCTTTAGTCATATAGTACATATTATACTGACATTAAAAACACCAATAAATACATAAAATGGTAGCTCGTTGCTATGGCAACCCAAATAATAGCTGAAAATACCACAAAAACTGTGTAAAAGAGTGTCAATGAAATTTTGTAAAACTGTTCTAAATATGTAAATTTGTGATATGAGCGAAACAGATTTTTGAATAAATAAATTTTTGGATAAAAGGGTACAGACAAATTAGGTTATTAAAAAAAAGGTCAAAATACAAAGAAAAAAATTAATTAAATCAAAATCTTAAGTCATATGAGAAACTCTACTTCGCTCTTATCATAAGCATTGGTAAAATGAACAATCCCTAAAAATTTCATCATGATAGCGTGTATACTTTTTGAGATTTTTTTCGCGGCGTGTTTAAAAAATAAATTCTCAGAGAACGCAAAACAAAAAATAAAATCATAAATTATTGTTCATTTCATAAATACATCTTTAAAAAAAGAACTTTTTAAAAGAGTATTTCAAAAGCTACCAGATCCATAATATTTCTTGGACTTTTCTATTGATTTTTGATTATCATCCTTTGATAAACGTTGACGCCATAACATCTTTCGTTTCATCTTAAAACTTTCACTCGATTTAAATAATGATAGTTTTATTCGTTTTTTGTTTATGAGTCTGCAACCAGCTAAAGTAAAATGTCCTGGTATCATTTTTAGTTTTTCATAAATTAAAATGACAGACTTCATACCAATGTTGTTACAATTCTGGGTTTTGCCACGCAGACATTTTACGAATTCAGAATCTTTACTTAAATCCGGATATATAGGTTTGATTTTGTGAATAATTTTTAATGTTGAATTTGCACCAACTTTCCAGTTGGGCAGTAAATTTGATAGTTATTTTCCTTTGAATAAACTACATGGAAAAGGCTAGCTAATACTGCTTTTTTCATTTTGTTCAGACCATTAATATTGCTCCGGATAGCTACACCAAAAAAATTTTGCAAGCAATCAATAACTGCATTGGTTAGTCGACCACGATCACCTAGACCCTTAACATTTTTTTTTAACTTGTGTAAGCGAGTACCAACTCGTTCTTAGTAATGTTCTACACACTCCAATTTTTTTACCTCCATGTTTGGGTATATATCTTTGATAGAAAGATTGGATTTACTATCCCTATCACTAAGAAATTGAGTGATATTTTAAGTGAGTATATCTTAACTTGTGTTTTTCGATGGAACGTTTAAAAACTCTCACTGCGCCGACTGATTCCATACTATCAGCTGTACTTTGATAATTGTACAAGCAAATATGTTTGTTTTTCCAATTAGAATATGTATTAGGATTTGATTTTTTTTATTGTTCCTTCATACAACAAGCGT